GTGGGGTGGGGGGTTCGTCTTGGAGCCGCGAGGAGGGCGGGAGGGGTGTGGGGCCTGGCGGTGGAGGAGTGGGTGGGCCTTGAGGGGCCGGAGGGCCTTGAGGGAGGACTTGGTTGCCGTGCTGCATCCTTAACGCTCCGCTCCAGAACCTTATCTTCCGCTACCTGCAAAACGTGAGTACCCGTGGCGGGGCGGGAGGGTCGGGGCTGCCGTCTTGGGTGAGAGGAATGCACTGGTGCTGCTGCGCAGGGCCCGTGGGGGGAGTGGGGCGCCACAGCGCATTGGTGTTTCCGAGGTCATCGTCTTTTTGAAGCCCGTCTCTGTTGAGCTGAAGACCCTGCTGTCTTTCATATACGTGAGAAGAACAGCTGGTTCCGAGTTCAGTGTTCGCATTAAGGAATTGCCTTTGTAACAGGCGTTTGATCTTGTAATCCGGTGTGCAGGGATGTTTTCCCTTAAAATCTACGTTGTACGTGTTCATCAGTGAACGCATACAGTATTTATATATATTAATGCCTTATAAACATCTGAGGATGTAACTGAAACCACTTGTGAGAGTTACTGCAGTGAGTGTTACAGAGCTATTGGTAGCAAGGATTTCTTCATGCATAGGAGGGAACAGAATTGCTTGGAGTGTTTATGTTCCTGATTTGCTCTCCTCCTCCATCATTTTGCAGAGATCCAGGATCCAGGTGTGGCTCTATGAGCAAGTGAACATGCGGATAGAAGGCTGCATTATTGTGAGTATCAGGATGTCCCTTTGTTATTCTTTTGATTGTTTGTTTGTTTGCTTTAGACTCATAAGACTTTTTTTTCCCATGAAGAAAAACTGACAAGGGGGGTGGTGGAAATACTTCATGCCTCTCCAGTGAATAGTTTTAATTGTCCAGCCTTTGGCAGCACAGCTAATGATAACTTGTATCATTGTTGCTGATTTTTAGACTGGGAGACTTAGCTCACTGACTGCTTTTGTTGTTGATTTGTAGGGCTTTGATGAATATATGAACTTGGTGCTGGACGATGCAGAGGAGATTCACTCAAAGACAAAATCGAGGAAACAGCTGGGTATGTCAGTATGTCTGTGTAACCTGAGTGATGCCCGAAACCTGGTTGCATGAGCCTGCCAAATAGCAATGCTTTAAAGTACAAAACACATGAAGAGCGTTCAGTTTGAAGTATAGTGAGCAGCTCCTGGCTAGGTCTCGGTTCCTGTTGCTTCTTGAGCTGGTGGTTTTTGTTGAATGTTCAGGAGAATCTGCCTCTGCCTGAGACTGGTTTTTGTCTTTCAAATGTGTGTAACAACCTATGGACTGCGCTGCACTTTTCCTGCAGCCAAGGTGGCTGGGGGGGTCCAGTCAAACTCCTCCCAGCTGTGTCTAATGCGGGTGGCCCTCGGCAATTCTCGCACTTGTTGTGTCATCTCTGAGTCAAAGCAAGAAAACACCTGAGCGGCGGTGTTTAATATTAATCATCTGCTGATGAGGATAAGCAGCGGTCTGTGACAAGTGACATGTTCAGGCCCTCGATGGGGACAGAGTGCTCTTGAAACAGGGAGTGCTGGAGTGGAGACTATGACTGATGCGTTGTAGTGTGAATTGTGAATGTGGGCCCTGCATGTTACCACGTTTGGTGTCCTGTGATGCGGCCAGATGGGAAGGGACTCTGTTACTGATGAAAACCTGGTCAGTTACTGTGTGGGCATCTTGTTACAAACACCTTTGCCACTGTGAAATGTTTTTTGAAAACTTGAGGTTATGGTTAGAGTCTGGGATCCCTCTAATCCCCCCTTTCCTTTCTCTGTGTTGCAGGTCGGATCATGTTAAAAGGGGACAATATCACTCTTCTACAAAGTGTTTCTAACTAGGATTTGTTGTTCAAAACAATGGCTACTGTGCTTCAGAGTGAATGAAGTGCTAGTGGGAGCAGGACCAGTTGGTAGAGAGGAAGCTATGGGTAACTGGGGTCGCATGCTGAGTTGAAAACTGTGCATTCCTTTGTGCGAGTAGTTTGTAGTTCCTTTGGTTTTTTGTAGTTTGAAAACTATGAACAATGTATTCCACAAATAAACATTTTTCAAATTAACTGTAAATGTAAATCTGCTTGCTTTCCGTCTTGTGCCCTTCTGTGAGTAGGGAAGGGAGAGAAATGTAGGGGGAGTGATTTTCACTGTGGATCTCTGCAGTCTCTGATAAATATCTGCGTATCTGGAATGTTATATCTGCATTCAGTGGACAGGGTGGGCTCGTTCAGGATACTGGAACGACCTGCGTTCCTTGAGCTTGCACAGTTCTAGTGAGGGACTTGAAGCTGTGGTATGGTAATCCAACATTTGCAAACTGCAACTGGTAGGCATGCTTGTAAAATAACTTTTATCTTCAGGTCAGAAGCAGACAAGGCAGTTGGTTTGGGTTAAATCTCTATAGCTTCTTGCTTCTTTGGGCAGTCTCTAGATTAAACTATGGTGCTGTTAAATAAGCTGTGATATCAGATGTATCAGTTGGGTTTTTGTCATGTTGGTTTATTTTTATTCTCATTGAGGATCTGGCTGTTCTATCTAAGTTTCTACAGGAGAGCTGAATTGCTTATCACATCAACAAAAGAGGAGTTCTCTGTCTTTCTTAGCACTACCAGTCCCCTCTGCTGCTTTTCTGATGTAAGGACGGGGGGGAGGGAACAGGACGGGACAGGATGGGGATGGGGAAAGGTTTTGGCTGTAATTGTAACTAAAGAGACAGGTTACCTGAATGAAAAGAAAGGAATCTGGATACACAGGGTGCACTACAAATCATTTAATAAGCTTTCAGTATTTCAGAACTTAAATTTGCGTATCTTCTTAAGCATGAAAATTAATAAATTCAAGACAGAAGATTTCTTGCTTTAAAGGATAGAAATATGTGAGTCTTCTGGCAGAGATCATCCAGCATGCTTCTCCCTTTGCAAGAAGTCATATGTGAGGAGTATTGTAGCAGATATTCATGGTAAAAAGCTTTTGAGAAGCAGCATGACATACTACAGCGGGTAAACCAGCTCCAGCTGTACAGCCTGCTAATGGAGTCAGTAGTTTTGTATTTGTGATCACAAGCTGCAAAGTCCTTTTGGCATAGAGTCAACAGAAATAACCTACCAGTGTCATCTAGTAATGTAAATTGTCGCCAGAAGTTAGCACATACGGAATAAAGTAATATTTTAAGCAGTCACCTGCATCTGCTTTCCATTTTATCCTTGGCATACCAAGTGAGACTTTCAGGGAATTTCAGGAATTGTCTCGGACAATAGTTCAGGTGTTGCAGGATGAGGTATTTATGATGCAGTGCTGTAAAATTTACCTGCCTGCCTGTCTTCACGGTTACAGGCAGATGATGCCCTTAAGCCTCTATAAAAATGCAAACTCTCTTCAAAGTAGTTTTGAAGTTACTTTGAAGTAATCACTTCTCTTTCCAAGTGTGTGTAACTTTTTATTAATAGTTACTGTGTTTTTAGTCAAAAGTTATTTAATGGGATGTGTTGCATCACAGTTTATCCAGGGCCACTGAAGTAAAACTGGCCGGGAGCCTACAAGGGTCTGTCCTTCTTCCGCTTTGCACGTGGCTGGCAAGTGGCTGCTTTTGGGGAAGAGCTGGACATTAGGAGAAAGAGCTTGTTCTTATCAGCAGTGCTGCCGCCAAATCCTAATTGTGCACTTCAAGACACCGTAATGCCTCCTAAAGCTCCTCTGCTCTTTGATATTATCAAATTAGCGCCAATGAACGTCAATATTGGAGTAGGTTGATGATGGGAGGAAGGAAGTCCAGGCTAATCAGCTCTGAAGCATCTCATGATAAGGTACCAAAATAGGCAGCAATTATGTGCGTGGGGGAGTTGCAGAAGAAAAGGAGAAGCTCCCCAGCAGGAAGCCGTGAAAACTGCAGAAAGCCTGCAGGAGAGTCCAGGCGTGTGTGGATGTCCAGGAGGAAACACAGCCCCATTGTTTGAGGAGCGCCTGGCAATGGAGCCTTGTGGTCCAAGAACAGAGCTTCTAGGCATTACCAGCACATAGACGGGGCACAAAAACAATTCTGGCTTTGCCGAACTGGGTTCCCAAGAAGCACTTGTCTGTCCTCATCAAAACCACAGGGCTGACTCATCTAAATGCTTGCTGATTTTTTTTATTTTTTTTTTTTTTTTTTAACCCCGAATCCTTCCAGCTTCCTGAGCCGTTTCCAAGCTGCAGGGCAGCAAGAAGGTAACATCTCATGAGCCGCCTGAACCGTGGCAGGGCCAGGATGGGACTCAAACTGGCTGCAAAAGAGTGCGGTAGACAGAAGGGGGTGCTGCGGGCTCGGCCAGCTCCCCCTGCCCCTCCAGCGAAGTGTCATAAGCCTCCGCAGGAACATAGAGTTCCCCAGCATTCGAGCAGCTTTATTGGCTCCCAAACAACCTGGAAGAAAGCAAACTGGGCTGCCTGGTGCGGGGCTGCTCTCAGACGGTGCGGTAGCCGGACAGGGTGCCTGGATCTCCTGGGTACCAGTACCTTCCCCAGTTCATCCGCGCACCCTGGGGTGTCCTGCTCCTGCAGGGGATGAGGAGTAGAAGGTTCTGGTTTTGGCTGAGCGAGTGAGGAGGAGCAAGGTAGAGTGAACGCTTACAATTGGGCTCTGTGTTTAGAAAACTCCCCGTCGCTTGGCTTTCTGCTGCCTTGCAGCCTGTTGTGTTCGCTTTTGCAAATTGTACTTTTCCATAACGTGCAAATTCCTTTTCCTCCAGTGTGGGGGCGGGAGGGGA